TGACCCGGGCCGTGCTGTGTGTCCAGCTCCACGGCAGAAAGTGTCCAAACCAGCCTTTTTTTTTTTTTGGCTGTTCATAGATTCATTTACTAGAAATAGGCTGGAAATACGCCCCCCACCTGTCTGTGGGCAATTCATCATCATAATTTATGGGTTTATATTTATTATTTCCAACCTGAAAATGCTGCTGCAGAAATAAAACGCTGTCTTTTGAATATTTTTTCCTTTTTTTTTTAAAATCAGCTTTTTCTGCAACGTTCTGCCTTTAACATTCTGCATTTGTTTTCTTCTTTTTTAATTCTACTTTGTATTTCTTTGTCCGTTCCTGCTTTGACGTGGGAGTAAGAGAGGCTGGCTTTGAAAAGGCGCCGTCATGTGACTGGCCGAGCCTCGGCTCTAAGTGACCGGCCCCTCAGGATGGACGGGGCCCTGGACGGGAAGAGCTAATGTCCACATTCGGACACAGTTTCTTTGAGATGTGGGCCGCGGGGTTTGACCGCCTCAGACTCTCACAACACAAAACCACGTGTGTGTTCCACATCCTGGTCCTCACTGTGGGCAGTAGGTGTCCAGAACACGTCCATCACAACACTGTGTGTGTTTCCTCTGATGCCACCATGTTGTTTCACGGGGATTCTAGTACTGTGGCCACAATAAGACTTATTCCTTCGTTATTTAGATGAAAACACATTTACAGGATTCCCTAGAAATAATAGACCAATGCTTTCAAAGTTTGACCACAAGGAATTGTGGGAAATTTTTAAAAAGGTTGATTTATCTGTCAGTTTTTTCCTATGCGAAGGGGAATCTTCCAGAAAGCCCTGGAGCTTCTGTTCTTGTGGTTTAGAAAATGAAAATGAACCAGATCTAATCACGACGCCCGCTTAGATACTTCCAGGTAATTTAACTCGTTAGAATTCCTCCTAAGCAGAAAATACTTTTTGACCAGGCGCTGTGCATCATTAACTGCTGTTAGAAGTACAGTTGGAGCTTCCCTATGGAAAAAGAGATAATCTTAATTTCTGAAATTTCCGGCTAATTTCAAATCCCTTTAGTTCCTCACGACAAAATAACACAACATACTCTCCAAAGTACTGTTCTACCGTAGATAGATTAGTTATTTTTAGAAAATTGTATTATATGCACATGTGTTTTGTAAATTAATTGATGTTTTTCACCTTCATTTTTCCACATCAATCAGCAAAAGGAAACGCTCTAATTAGGCAAGACCCAACATAGCCGGTGGATTTGGCCTTTTAAGTCCAAGTCAGTCCATCTGTGTCTTAAAACCACCAAAACCAGAAGGCGGTCTGGTTTAAATCGGTAGGACGTTCTGGTTGGAACTCCTTTGGCCTGAAGTTCAAACAAGTATTATGAATATTTACATTAAAAGTCAACTTCTGCTCACACAGTTTCCCACTATACCTTCAACAGTTTTTACGTATTTTTATGAGTGTGTGTTTGTGAGTACTTCTGTTATACACAACACTTATTTTTTTTGGGGGGGGGGTATGTCCCTCTCGATTGCCATCTACCCCCGCTCACCCAGAGCTGGGACACCTTTAACAGTGAGCAACCATTTGAAAATCTAATAAACTAATATTGAAATGACACTAGAGCATGAAATGTGTAAAACTTTAAAAACAACACATTTGAATGTCTTGAGGTTAGACCTGATAAATTAGAGTTCAGAGGCTTGGGGGGGGGGGATGACTGGCGTTTGGTGAGCAGCAGTGAGTGACTGTAGGTTAAGGAGGATCTGGGGGGTCAAATGCGAGTGGAGGAGGTCCTGATGTGTGTGGGGCTGAGACTCTGATAAGAGGCCAGTGCTGGAGACGGAGTGGTCACAAAAACTGAGACCTGAGATGCTGACCGCCTCAGAAAATCACTTATTGTGAAACTGGACGATTTGAATAGATGAAATGAAATGATTAATTAATTCATTAACTCAAGGAATTTACTGACATGAGTTCTAATTGGTAAAAGGTTTGCTGTCTTGAGACTAAAGCATTTAATATAATCTTAGATAAAATTCTAATAATAAAAAAAAAATATATATATATATATATATATAATTATAATTTTTCAATATAATAATAATCAATTATATAATAATAATAATAATAATAATAATAATAATAATAATAATAATAATACAATTAGATTATCATCAGTAAAAGCAGCAATAAATCCAACAATTATGTGACAAGGAAAGGGACCTCTACCATGGTTGGCTTTTATTTATTCTTAAAATGTATCTCCAGACCCAAAGTACGACTAAACATCCTGCTATACATCTGCACATCATTTTGGTTTATGCAGTGCCTGATTCTATCATCAGAGATGCCAAAAAGATGGTCATATACAGATTTCATACATTTGTATCACGGGCCATACTGAGAGCAGTCTTTGTATTGTCTGTACTGGTTGATATTCGTAAATATATTCTAAGCCTAATGTTATTGATAAATGCAATAAAAGTTGACAAAAACATCAACTTTTTAAATGGTACAAGCATTTGGATGCAGCCAAAGCATACCAGTTCTAAAGGGATATTTCAATATCTCCCTTACATTTAAAAAGAGAAAATGATTTCCCAAGTTCTTTAGCATTAATCTACTGGATATTTTCATGATATTTAAAAAATATATATATTTGTACATGTTCATTTCACGGCATTACAGCTCACATACTGTTACATACATATACTGCACGTTCAAATAAATTTCCCCTAATGTTATTTGAATGTATTTGGGAGCTCTCTTCACACAGTTTTGGGGGCCTGGTGTAAGCCACCAAATGTTGTCTCATTTGGCCCTAACTAGTTCTGGTTCTGATCAAAGTTTCTTCCTTATTCCGGTTCTGTTGGAGGCTATTATTTTGCTTCTGGTCCCGACTGAGGTTTCTTCGCGTTAAAAAGGAGATTTTCTCCCCACAGTCACCGTGTGCACTTCAGGACACGCGACGGAATCAAAATTCTATTTTCTTTTTAGGCATCTTTTTCAAAAAGATTTGATTTGGCGCAATCTGTAATTGAACACATTTTATTTTAGTGGATTATAAATATGTTAGCAGTGTTGCTTCACAGCTAAAAGGATTAATAGTTTGAATCTCGACTTTTTTCTTTCTGTGTGGGGTGGACATGTCCCAGTGTTTGCTTGAGCTGTTTAGGGGTACTCCGAGAGAACATTTGAATTTTTACAGACATAATTAGGCAGCTTACTGTTGTGTAATAATCAGGCCAA